CTTCTCCATCGTTGGGGGAGCAACGTCGTTCCGTAGCCGGTGATTCATTACCTCGACCTGTTACGGACCATGGCAAGTCAACGCTTGCACTGGCAAGTGGAGTCTCTCTTCAAGATAGCACTGGATTTGCACCACTGACCTACTTGCCACAGGATGCCGCCACAAACAGGCGAAGGCACATCGACAACCTCTTCCGGATCTGGTCGGGATAATTGGAAAGGCAAACAGAGGAAATTCCGCAACAGAAAGGGGCCGCCGCCATGCAAGCCGCGGACCTGTGAACAATGCCGCCACAGTCGTCGAAAGGTGGGTCGTCTGGAACAACTGTCACCCTCGACGCTAATAATATCCGTCATTCAGTGCGAAGTGGAAGGGTCGCCATCCCGGGGGTGTGAGGAGTGCCGGAACAAAAACAAGGAATGCAGCTACGTCGAAAGACAAGAAGGCACAGACAGGGCTTTCGATGAAGCACAGGCGCTCACAGAGCCCGGACCGAACGTCCCTTACCATGCTGACCCTGTTTGGAGTACACAGAGGTACGCTGGAAAGCCGTGCGAGCGCAAAAAACAAAGATTTAACTGGGCTAGTGTTTCTCTTGACGGTACCCAGCAAGCTTTGTTACCGACAGATAACCAACAATACTACCATCAGTCGCAACTGTACCCACGTCCAGCGTACCTCGCAGAACCGGTGCACCCACAGACCGACCTCGTCGCCGCCACTATACCTCCGATGCACTCAATGGGGGTCACCGGCCTCGAATACCAGGAGCACAACCCCTATACTGTTCAGCACGACCTGTATCGACCCTACGACCTGACACAATCCTTCAATGTCGATGTTCCCGCCGAGGCTGTTGGGCACATGCCGGGTCCGACTCCGAGGCAATCTCCTCAACCAGAAGATGACAGAAAGGACCACGGCTGGATCGACACCTAGTGAAGAGAGACGACAGGCAGATCAGAGTGGAGCCGCAGCCGCGAAATCGACCGCCTACATAGTATGTAAGTACATGGGTGCTGCCGAAATGGGTGGGAAAACGTGCATCAAGGAGGTCAGACTAGAGCCAGATCGAAGCTTCATATTTTGACTTATGATTCCCATATGCGTGTGTTCGTCACTTGGTTCGTCGGCGTGTAGGAACTCAGGGCTCATAGACTGGGTGTTATCTAATTAATCCCTAATCCCTCGCTGGTGCCGAACATACCACACTGTTCATCGAAGCACGCACCTGTATTAGGTCGAAAGGAGCAAGAGCACGCCACCCAGGATATATCATGGCGCATGCAAGTCAGAACTTAGGGCTCATAGACTGGGTGTTATCTAATCCCTACACCCTGGCTGGTGCCGTTCGCCGTAATATACAATTAATCCCTACTCCCCGGCCGGTGCCATTAATTACTATACTGTCCATCGCAGCACGCCGCCGTTGTAATTCGTAAGGAGCAAGAGCGCGCCATGAAGATATAATTATCATAGCGTTGGTAAATATCACCCACAGCTGAGGCCACGGACAAAAGCCAACGGTGGACTGGTTGCCGTAGTCTGGTCATCCCGCTGATTACCTTAGACACGGGCACTGCACTAGAGGATCGGTCGAGGGTTGTTCTTTTATCGTATGCGCGCTGCATGAAACTATGGGGACCTTTAAATCCTCACTCCAGCTTAAGTATATTATATATAAGTCACCGAGTATAGTAACGCGTTCTATATATATAGCAAACAGTGCATCGAGGCCAAAGCCCTGTGAGAGCGTCATGGATACGTATTTGTATCCATGCCGTGGAAGATTAGTTTACGTATCTTCTTTTCTTCTCCTTCTCCTTCTCCTTCTCCTTCTCCTTCTCCTTCTCCTTCTCCTT